GGCTTCCACTGGAATTCAATGCTACAGAAAGAAAAGTGTTTTCATGAACAGGCAAAAGCACAGAGACAGAGTAGAGATCTCAGATGATGAGGACTTCTTTTTTCAGCACAATTTGAAGTGGAAATTAATGACAAAGAGATCACTTTCAGTTCCTTCCTGAGGAACCTTTGCTAGTGTCTTGATCAGATAGTGCAAGTTCCAAGCATGTTGAAGGTCAGCTGCTTCTGCAAGTGTGAACACAGTTAAGAGTAGCTTGTGTTATCACAGCCATTGCCCAGTGGTTTAGTGTGGTGGTTTGGAACCGAGTCCCCGGAACCTTGCTTTGAAACATGCTATCCTCTAGGCAGTGTGTAGAGAACATCTCTGTGGCCCACTCATTCATAAAGAATGTCACAGCTCAGGAATGTTCATTCACACAGCAGTGGGAGGTAGTGATTATGCTTCCTAATTCAGGAGCAGTTGTCTTCTATGCGAAATGCATGTCAGGAACAAACTATAAATATTGGAAGAGTTTTTCCCACAGCTTCTTCTGTGCTGGTTTATCAGAAGATTAGTGATGTCTAGATGAACCCATGCTCTTGCAACACTTCGAATTGTCCCAGATTGTAAGATTTAGATTCAGTGCATTTACATAGGCCAAAGAACCAGGGCACAGGAATTCCTCCCAAAGTTACTTATTGAGAAAATGCACCCCCACATCCTCCCACTTTTTCCTTAGGCCATTTGTTGATTTGTTAGAACCCATTTGTTAGAGTGAAAGAAAAGAAAGAAAGGTCTACCTGCCTTCATATCTTGACTACCTGAGTGGAGTAAGGTATGGCCACAGGCTTATAGTAATCGTGATAATTAAGACATACTTAACTAAGTCTGTATCTCAAGAGGACTAATGTTAATTATACTTTGCAAAGCTTCTCAGCCAATGCTATTATCTTCTCCTGCCCTATGGAATCCTCCCTCGTTACAGAAAAGTAAAAAGATTTCTGGTGCTGCCTAGCAAATTAGTGGCCAGGCAGAAATGAAATCTAGACATCTGACTCCTTCGTCATGGTCTAAGCCTAAAATGTCCCTGAAGTCCCATGTTGAGAGGTGGAATTTGTGGAAGATGACTGGAACATGGGCACTGTATTGTGATCTTCATGGGATTAGTTTACTGATGAGTTTATAGCTGACTGTGCTGTTCAGATGTGTGGCTTGGTAGGAAGAGGCAGGTCACTGGGGCCTGGTCTGTGCATTCTCACCCCAGGCTCTTTTCTTCTCTCTCTACTTGCATTCCACCATAGAGTGAGCCATGCACCATGCCTTTCCACCATGGTCATTCTGCCTTGGAGCCAGCCAACCATGGACTGGATACTCCAAACCATGAGCCAAATCAAACCTCCTTTTAGTTGTGAGTGTCAGGTTTTTTGATCCACTACTGGGAAAGCTAACTAAACAACCTTGTTTTGGGGTCCTATTAAGGAGGAGGAAAAGGAACTGATCACCTAAAGTTGAACGTCACACATTGGAAAGCATTGGAAAGACTGGTTTGTTGAAGAGAACCAATATTTTTGTATAGTTTTATCATGAAGAATTCTTGGAAATATTTTGCAAATGGAACTTGTAGACAGTCTTTTTCATTTATTTTAAAGGACATTTAGAGTGAGACTCAGAAAGCTGAAAAGAAGGAAACATATGTTTTGATGGACTCATCATTATTTTTATCTTGGTGGAAGAATGCAAAATGACTTCTATTGTCAGGGTACCTCTCTCCTCACTATTTGCTTTTTTAATCATACAAATGTGCTTTTCCTTTTAATATAGCATCTTACTATTATCAAGTCAGAATTTACTCATGAAGATTTACCTAAAATAGTAAGATTTACTTATAAACTGTATCAGAGATTAGAAGCTGCAAATGAAAAGACCTTTATTTAAGATTATTTAGTCTGGAGTTAAGAGGATGATGAAGTACTTTTGAAAAAAAAAATGTAATTTCTGGGCCCTAGTTGAAGGCCTTTTGGGGGTGCAGGTGTTACCTGCTTAGTCTGGAGGAAGAATCCATTCAAACTGTCTTTTCACTTAACTGCACTTTGGACCTGTTGGTGTCTCCCCATAATTCCTGATAACTTTCCTCCGTTCAAAAACAAAGCAAAAGTGTGCAAGGCATCAGGGCAAGAGTCTTCCAAAGGCAGAGTTAGACCCTGCAGTAGCCGAGCCGGGTGCTTCGTTCTCGCTTTGTCTAAGTAGCGGAGGAGCTTCCGCCTCCACACTGCGCTGTGGAGATGAAACTCTTGCCCCATTTGTAATTCCACTAGGTTCAGTGGAGCTCTGGATTTTCATACTTTATTCCAAAGCTTCTTTTCTAGCAGGAAGCCAGGGCTTGCAGCCAGCTCTTGCTGCCCGAATCTGCAGTTTTTTACTTGATGAGAGCTGTTAAGGTAGCATCCAAGGAAACATAGCGATGCTTTCAAATCTCCAGGACAAGGGCATGATTCATTCACTTTATTGGAGTTTTCTTCACATAACCAGGGTTAGTTTTGCCCTGTTTAAGCCCTAAATCTCTCCAACAGGACTCTCTTTCTAAATTCAGGGCAGCACAGTGTGTAATGGTATATAATGAACAGATTTAAATTAAGTAAAAGGAACCAGTTAGAAATTATAATTAAAAATGGTGAGATACTCTCAAAATGTGTTCACTGCCAGAAGTCTAAAAGGGGAGTGATAATTTTTTTCTGTGTCTGCATTTAATGTGAGTGAGAGGAACCCCTTGCCTGTCATGAACTGGAGAGACATGCATCCTTTCCTGCCCTATGTGGAGCTCCCTGGGCCTTTGCAGGCTGTGAGGCATTTCTTTCTTGCGGAGAGGGCATCCTCAGTCAAGGTGATGGTTGTGAAAAAATGGCATCTATCCTCCTGCTTGACAAATGTATGTCTGTAATGACCTGAAAAGATGGTTGAGGTCAGGATTTGCAGTTCTTGGAGTTCCACATGGGAACGTAGTGGCTTCACCAGACCTTGTGCCGGGCCATGGCCTCTGACTTGTGATCCCACCTGTGCAGCGAGAAGCTGTGCACGTGTGCATGCAGCCAAGCCGGCCCCCATCTGGGTTTGAGTTGCGTCCCGCTTTTGGATCTTAGCTTAGTGGGTGCTCACAATAGCTGGTTTGTGGCTGTGTTGGGGAGACAGCTAGAAGGAGAAATATGGCCAGCCTAAGAAGAGGGCTGGGCCATGCAGTGAGGGAACCAGGTGCCTATCTTCAGCAATGCTGTTGTGGGAGGCCACATATACTCACAGGCCTTAGCTGTATGGTACAGGCAGAGTGAGAGCTTCCAAAATGAAGAGTTCCAGGACAACCCCAAGAGCGACTCACTCCTATGGGCTGTGGAACCCTTCTTTCAGCAGAGGGAAGAAGACTCCAGTGTGAGGGGACACCATTTTGTCTAGAGTCTTTGCAAAGGGAAAGCACTTTAAAAGATGTAGGTGAAATACAAATGCCAGCAGGTGGGCTGATCTTGGGAATTCTTGCTTCTGTGTTCACTGAATCACCCATTAAATTGCAGGGAAGCCTTCAAGTCCTCTCTCTGGGTGACACATGAGCTACAAATAGTTCTGACAGTGCATCCTGACACAGTGTAACTCAAAACTACTTAGAGATGGCACTGGGGTAATGCAGCTCTTGAAAGTGCAGTTGAAATTTATTTGGAATCAATGAATTTGTCTGCATTGATGCGGTACCATCTCAGGGACTGCACAGGTTGTGCCCTGCACAACCTCACGTGGTGTAGGCACACAGGGTGCAGTGTGAAAGGTGCCCTGGAGTTATGCAAAGTGTGGACTACTTAGTGGTATGTAGCATCCCTGAATCAAGGGACACAGCTATCCATTTAATTTTTCCCTAGTAAAATAGATATTCTTCTAGTTGAAATGTGTTAAAGTTCTAATTTGAGCGGTGGGGCCACTTTTAGCTGGTTCTTTATGTAGAGTAATCTTGATTATCCATTGGGGAATTCATGAGCAGAAAATTGGCTCACTTCCCTTTATTTTAATGGCATTTTCTGCTTAGAGTTCAGAAGTGAAATGAAAACAGAATGAACATCATGGTTTACGAATTTTACTATTTTACCTAGGAAGCAAAGTCCAGAAGTCCAGAAAAGAGCTTCAGAAGTTCATTTTACAAATGCTTAAATGTTACGAAAAATTTAATTTTACTTCCAAGTAGAGTTTCATGTAAAGACCCAGTTAGCTGTGAACAGAGAATCACTAGCAAATGTTTTTATCACCAGTTCTTGTCAATGCTAAGTTTTGGAAAAAAATTTTTTCAGTGTTTTTGGCAAGTTTTATAGGAGTATCTTAAAGTAGAATATTCTGATCATCTTGACGACTACAGAGCCATCCAAAAAATTAACTTGGTATACTTTTACTTTTCTCTCTGATATCATATTTATTTATAACCTCTGATATATTAATGATTTCAACAGAGGAAGTATCATTTTTTTTGTGTGTGTGTGTGTGTGTGTTGTTAGGACAAAAGCAAAAATGTGTTTCTCCAACCTTAGGAATCTCCCTGAAGACTTTAGCATTATGCAGGTTCATACATGCTGATGGCCCTGCTGTGCCTAGCTTGGCAGTAACCCCCAAACCATCAGAGAATAACAGAAGTGGTGAGAAAATTACCTATCTCTGGAATAAACACACCAACATTACTGTTAACATGGCCAATTGTGTAATAGAAACAGTCTACAAAAAGAAATCATCATAATTTCCTGGTCTCTAAAGTTTTTCAAATGTGATTTCTATTCTTTTATTTCTTTTTCATTTTTGGAGGACTGAACGGATGGGGAAGGGAACGGAGTAAATATGAAGCAAACCAGGACATTCAGGCTTTACTTACCTTTCCTACTAAGTAATCTATTTGATCATAAAACTTTCAGTGTATATCTAGCACATTTTAGCTGTTAAGAGTTGGTACATTTTTAACTCCAAAATACATACTTACATGTTTGCTGTGTTTTGTTTTTTAGGTGGCAACCCAGATTACCTAGGTGAACTATATGAAGGTAACTATCACATTTTCTTTGCTTTGCACTGTATCAAAATGTTTGTACATAATGAAAATATATCAACTAAAAGAAGCCCTCTAAACTCAGTTAAATACACACTCTAAGCATTATGCAGACTGAAATAACATCACAAAAATCATTCAGTATTGATGGCCATTTTCCCCTGGATATTTTCTGTGCCTGTAAACCCTACTCTCTCTCTCTCTCTCTCTCATATTCTGTTCTTGGAAGTAGTAAATCTGCTGCAATGAACATTTTGTTTCCATAACTGGGAATTAATTACCTGTTTAAACGCCATGATTACCAAGGAAAGGGAACCATACTGGTTTCAGGCTGTGCCAGTAAACACAATTTAGAGTTGTTTCTTGTATAATGAGGAAGTTTGGCTCTCAGACAGGAGCTGCAAAGGAAGGGCTTACTTTAGGGATGAGTAAGCCAGCAGCTCAACCACATCATTAAGGACCCAAATTCTCTGCCTCCTGGCATTCCCCATCCTCTTCCACCAGCTTCCCTAAGGGCTGAGTCTCCTCACAGTTATAAGTGGATGCTGACAGAAAGACTCTTGGTGATGGAAGAGAAGAGTCTTTGATAGTGTCGGCAAAGAAAATGTCTTCCCCAAGCCCTATCACATCCTCTTCAGACCTTGTTCCCCAAACGTTGGTCTTGGTCCATTCTCACCCTCGTTACTGATAAGGAGGGTTAGCGGACTGGTCACCAACTAGTCCCAGCCCTGGGCCAGTTTGAGCCAGTTTCCCCAGAAGTGGGTAGATTTAAACCCTAAACAAGGATTCTAGGAATGTGAAAGCATAGAGGCTAAGAGGCCCGTGATATTATTAGCTTTTGACCCAATACTTCATTATACTTTGCTGTTTGATTGAAAACCAAGGTTATTTCACTGGTAACCCATCTTTACCAGATTTCCAGACCACCTTTGTGATCAGGCAGCCACTAAATTTGGTGAGGTTACAGGCTGCATTTCAAGATTTGGCTTGAAATTTAAGAAAGATTAAATATTAGATTGATGTAAATGTTGGATTTATGTATTCTAAAAATATTCTGTTCTCTAATTTTACATGTGAAATATACACATAGACATTAATTTTTCCATAAAAAATTAACCGTATGTTTGGATGTTTACTATCAGGTGTGTGTATTTAACTTGAGTTTACCTGGGAAGTAGGTTGTCTCTACCTGCTTATGCGTTTTAAGCCTTATTTCTTCCAAGCTTGGTTGATTTTATGCATGCAATTTACAAATTTTTGTTTCTGTTTTCCTGCTATGATTTAAGGAAATAATATCTCAAATTGTGTCACAGAGAATTACGTGGGAATTGTGCCTTTACATTTTAAACTCATGCTTTGGGTTTATTTTTGGTAACTTTGAGATTTTAAAAATGCCATCTTCTGATTGACCTCAAATCCCACTTTGATCTTTGGGCCAAAATGTCACAATACTAACTTAGAGATAGTTAAGCAATTTAAATATTGCATGAGTGGTCGGCACTCACATGAAGAAGGAAAACTAAAAATGATGTGTTCATATTTGAAATCAGTAAGTTTTACAAGAGTGAAACAGCAAATGGAAAGTAAAGGTGTTTTCTCTTATTTTTCATTCACATTGCAAGGAACAATATGCTAATAAAAATATGGTATAATTTAAATTATTTGCCCCGAGGCCAGCATAATGATTCCATCTGGAGAAACTGAGCTGAGACTGAGTCAATGATACAGTTTGTTCAGGATGGAAATGGAAGGTGCTGCACCTATTCAATTAAAATATAAACATTTATTGAAACATCATTTGCAATAAACTCACCAAGAATTTTCTTGGTAATATTTGCATGTGATATTGCCAATAAAAACTTTGCTCATCACAAAAATTGATCATTTATCCATCCTGATCTATATAGCCTGAAATTGATTTGGGACTTGGTGTAATGAGAATGCATCCTTAGTGATTCTGAAACTGAAATATTGGCAGTTTTGAACAAGAAAGTTTCTTTGTGGACCCAAATTCTATGCTGATGCTTACATCACATCCCATTCCCTCTTAAGCATTTGCCCTTTTCTCAAACAAGAAGCAGCTGCCCAGGACTTAGTGTTGCCCTTTTGAAGGCTGGTTAATATCTGCTGCCTTTTCATCAGGTGGCTGTAGATAAGCCATTTCATTTTCTCAAGTTGACAACCCTCAGCTCTAAAATTGGCAGTCAGTCTTGGTCTCAAAGACTCACTTGTCTATAGCTTTTAGATGGCCGAATCTCCTTCATGTTTTTTTAAAGATTCCACCAGTAAAGGGATCTACTCAGTGCAGAGAAGAAACTCTAAACCAGATTTAGAATTTGACCAACAAAATAATGATGTAAAGGTCTCTGCTGAAAAAAAAAAAAAAACCTTCAGCATGGTGCACTTTCCATGCTGCAGTGGATTTAACTCTGCAGCCCTGGCCAGGCTGGCATAGCTCAGTCTTTGGGGACTGGTTTTGTTTCCTGATGGCTCCTACCATGTGATGTCAGCCTAATGACAACTTTGTGTTCCTTCTTTCCCTTTCTCCAATTTAAGACTGGACTGCAACAAGTGACACCACTAACAGAAGCAGTGAAATGCCTTCCACAGTTGATGAACCTGGCCGGGAGCATCTCTCGGTGAGTGTGGTAGCCATGTGTTTCATTTGCCCGCGTGTTGAAGGATCATGGTTGCTTCCACAAGACACTGCTATGTTTCAGATGTAAATAGGACATCGAATGTTGGAGGAATTAATGGAAAAGTTTAACACAAGCAATAAAGGCATTATCTAGCCTCAGACTTACTTGCTTCTCTTTTGTGCACAATGTTTAATGGTTAGTGGATCCTGTTTCAAATATCTGTCCTTGATGAGATGATCCCTAGATCAAGTAACCAGTGTTTGCATTCAAGGACCACATTCTCATCCCTTAAATATTTTTCATGAAAGTTTGAGTGTTCAAAGGTAAGCAGTCCAAGTGCTTCTGGAAAATGGAAATATCTGAGTGAAACCCAGATCTGTCGTTTAAAAGCCCTCATTTGAGCCAGAGATCCTGGGTGTGATGGGTGTTTTGTGTAGCTCCTGCAGGATGCTTAGGGTGAACAATCAGGGATGGAAGGCAAGAGCAGTGCGGGAAGTGACCAAGAACTGACAGGTCAGAAACCACGATGCAGATGCTTGATCTGTGGGTTCAGTGTGTGCAGCGCTGCACTCGGCGGGAAGGTTGGAGACGTGGGACTAGAAGCAGTCCACCTGTCGAGCTTTATTACACAGTGAGGAGCGGTTGAAAGGAGGCCACAGATCTTAGGATCTGGGCTGGGATGGGCCTGTCAGTGGCTCAGATCCAAACCCAGAGCTTCCTCTGATCTCTTCTTTTCCTCACTTATCATATGCACACAGCACTTCCTGTGAGCACCACCTTCTTATCAATTTAAACCCATCCTGTGCCTCCTCCTTGGCTGCCACTGCTGTAGGCTAACACGGAGTTCAGCAAATGAGGGCTTCTGCATTCACTCTGGCTCACCACCTGCTGCTGGAAGGTTTGCAGGCTAAGAATGGGTTTATGTTGAAAATGCTTTAAAAATCAACAGAAGAACAATGTCTCTTCACATATAAAAACTCCATGAAATTCACATTTCAGTGCCCATAAGTAAGTTTTATTGGAATACAGTCATGCTCACTCACCTATGTACTGTCTGTGACCATGCTTGTGCTGCAGTGGTGGGTAGAGTATTTCAGCGGAGACCACATGGCCTGCAAAAGTGAAATGTTTTCCTGTCTGGCCTCCACAGAGAAGCTGGCTGCAGTTGTTTTTTCCCTAGTTATACCACAGCCTCAGAAGGGCCTTGTTCCACTGCCACTTGTTACTTTCTGCCCTTCCTCCACCCAGAATCTTGAATGACCTTAAGCTCCAATCATATCACTTCATGTTTAGGCTTTATTTTATTTTTAACTGGCAAATAATAATTATATAGTTCTGGGGTACAAAGTGCTATTTCTATATTTGCATGTATCGTACAATAAGCCAACATAGTAGTTGGCATATCTATCAGTTCAGATACTTGTTATTTTGCTTGATGAGAACATTTAAAATTCCTACTTCAGCTATTTTGAAAATATAGTATGCTATTATTAACTCTTGTTGTCACTTTTCTGTGAGCCCAAATGCCGGAACTTATTCCTCCAACCTAACTATAAATTTATACTGCTTGACCATCCTCTCCGCTTTCCTACAACACTATCTGCACCCCAACTTCTGCTGGCCACCATTCTACCTTCTGCTTCTATGAAGCCAGCTATTAAATGTCCCACAGATGAGTGACATCATGTAGTATTTGTCTTCTGTACTTGACTTATTTCACCTAACATAATGTGTTATATTAATCCACTTTCCTATTACTGGGACCAAATACTTGTCACTCACAATTTAAAGGAGGAAGTGATTTGTTTGGCTCATGGTTTCGAAGGTTTCAGTCCATGGTTGGCTGGTTTCAAAGAAGCAGCATCATGGTGGTAGGGTTTAGTGGAAGAAAGCTGTTCATCTCATGTAGCTGGAGAAGAGAGCCAGGGAACAGTGTTAGAGAAATAAAGACCAAGAATCAGATGCAGACACTAAGGTTATATCTCCATGACCCACCCAGATTCAACCAGAAAGCATGTCTAATCCCCTGGGAGGCTCCCAAGTCAATCAAATTGACACTTAAGATTAGCTGTCCTTTAGGTTCATCTACGTTCCTGCAAATGGAAGAATTTGGGTTTTTTTCTTGGATTGCTTTTTTATTATAATTCCTAGTCTTCTTAATGCAATTTAAATCTTCTTGTATCAGGGCTTACTAGAAAAACAGCTATAACACAAGATATACAAATGCATAAGTAATTACCAGATAGGCTCACGATGATTACCTACAGAGTCGGATGAGGAAGCATGCAAAGGGTGTCTGCACACTGGAGGCGGAAGAGTCCAGCCCAGGGTCTGGAGCTCACTTCAGTATTCCATGCAAGTTTGTATTAGGAGGCTGGTCGGTCTGCGATGGAATGCTGAAGAATCTACTCATGGAGGCCAAAGAGTCCACACAGGAATGCTGAAAAGTCTATGCAGAAAAGCTGAAGAGTCAGGGGCAACTGAACAGTCTGTGCCAGAAGCCAAGAAATGCGGTCCAAGCACTGGAACTGCTCTGAAGAACCAGTAATGAGTCCTTCCTCACTTCCCTTTTATTGTATGCAGGCTACCTGCTCAGGGTGGGGTGGCTTTACACCCACACCATCTCCTTGACCTCCTCTTGCACAGGCTGAGGAAGTTTCTAAAGGACCCTTAAACTTCTAAACTTCTCAAGATGACACGATGCACAGCATCCTGGAGTGCTAAGGGCATGTCCTTCACACCCTGGATGTGGAATGGCTGAGTTGCTTAAACTTCTAGGCTTCCCAAATTGACACAGTGTATCAACCATTACATCTCTCTCATAGAAGTTAGATTCTTCATGGTAGTTGATGATCTTATTGTCCTTGCCCTTTTCCTTACATCTTGTTCTATGATCTTGTAACTTTTTGTCACCTGTCCTTTTGAATACACCCTTGAATATTTCAGGCTCACTCCAGAGAGGAACATCTGGCTTCAGCTTGCTGGCCGGCTCTGGGCTTTAAGAAGGTCATTCAGGATAGGTGGCTGGCAACCATTACCCCCTTCATTTTCTTCTGAGCAGCTATTATCTGGAATTGCCTTATTTATTCCTTTTACTGGTTTAATATATTCTTTCTTTCTCAAGATTCCTTAGTAAGAATCTTAGTACAGTAGTTCTTTCTAATCTGTAGCTCCAATTTCCTTAGTTTCATTCCCGTCTGAAACTAAAAACAATATATGGAAAATTCTGAAACAACTCACAGGTTTTAAACTATGCACTGTTCTGAGTGGTGCAGCGAAATATCTCATAATTCCTCTCTATCCCATTTGGGCGTGTATCACTCCTCTGTCCCAGGTACCCCCACTGTGTAAATGGCCCACCCATAATTGCTTAGCAGCCATCTCCGTCATCAGACCCACAGTCCTGGCATCACTTGTGTTCAAGTAACCATATTTTAATTAGTAAGAGCTCCAAGGCACAAACTTTTATTCAGACATATCATACTAATTATTTTATTTTATGATTGTTGTTGTTAATGTATTACTGTGCCTAATTTCTAGATTAAACTTCATCATAGGTATGTATGTGTAGGAAAAAACAGTACACATAAAATTTGATTCTGTCCATTATTTCAGTGTTAGAATCTTCTGGAAGTCTTGGACTGTCCCTGCTTCAGTTAAAGGGGAACTATTGTATAAGCAGCCTAGTCAGTGTATTATTTACAGGTATGCTTATTCCCCTGAAAATACTGCCTTTTAGTAGGCATTCAGTGAATTTTACAGACCAACTAGACTTACAGTGAGCATTATAAGACAAACTGTGGAATAGAGAGATTGGAAGTGGGGTGATTACTGAGTTGTTTGGTACAGTAATAAAAAGATGTGCTATATTCTTGAGCTAAGACTATGACATTGGGAATGGAACGTTCATAAATAGATGCATCACAGTTGTACCTTGAAAGGCACATATCCAGGATATAGGTACATGCACACACACACACACACACACACACACACACACACACACACACACACCAGACTTTCAAAGATGACCATATGCCTGATACAGAAATACCAAGAACAAATGCCATGATCAGTCAATCTTTGTGACTTAATAGGTCATGGTTCAAAAACATTGCATACGTAAGAACCTGAGCTGCAGAGTGAGCTGATGTGCATACTTCCAATTACTAGAAAGACATATTAGCTTTTGTCTTCTCTCTTTCAATGCCAGTGATAGATGGAAGTCCTTGACTGGCTTATCTCAAGACATTCAAGCTGTCTATAGAGCGAGAAGGCAAGATCAGTAAAAAAAATCATCCTTCAGAGGACTCTTTCAGAGGCTCCTAGACTCTGGTATCAGAGATGTGAGACCATGTTTTGCAGAATTTAAATACAATTTAAAAATTTTGTGTAGTCCAGATATCTGCAACATAAACAGTCTCTGATCATAGAAGGACCATTTTATTAGAAAAGTATCCATGCCAGGGAGGCGATAACAGTGTAGCAGTTGTAAAACACTGAGAGACAGTTTTAGATGCTGTAGATGCTGGCTTTAGGGCCCAGCAATAGCTCTTAAGACTCCTGGCTGGATCTGCAGGAAAGGACAGGTCCAATTTGTTCTGTTCTAATGACATTTTCAAGTGAAAACCAGCTGGCCATCTAACCCGCCAAATTCTCACATAAACACCATACTTGCTTCCAACAATGCACAGTACCTGAAACTCTACATTTATCATTGTTTTTGAAGAAGTGATTCTTACTCCCACAGGAGCCTTTGTTTCTTAAAGTGCTTTAATTTAGAAGAATTTCAATAGGTGTAAATGTCCATTTGTAAATCTGTAGCAGCTTTTCAGCACTAGAGCCCCATCCTGTTCTGCAGGTGAGGTCACAGGTCCAACAGCTGAGATCAGGCATTATTATATGATGAGAAAGCAGAGGCTTGGAGATAGGGTGCCCCACAATCACAGGGACTCAGGCCTCCTGAATAGTCACAGACTTTTAAAAGGGAGTGAGAAACTGTACGATTGCACTCTGAGAGGTCCTGGGACTTGGGCAAGTCATACATCCTCTCTCTATCCCAGTTTTCTTTTCCATAAAGTAATGTTGGAATATGTTGACTTAGGCTCTCCTCTGCTATCTGGAGAAATCTTGTGTTTCTTAAGAAATTACAGCTGAGACACTATTATCTCTTTTTCATGAAAAATTAGAAGTAAAGTTAGGCAGCAACAAAAACTAAACTCCTCAGTAAGTTTGAAGGGAAAGGCTTTGTTTCAAATAACCTGATCCACAATCAGCCTTGGTACTGCCCATGTGTGGAGTTTGGTTTCTATTCACACTTGTGCACAGGTGCATTCTGGGAGAGCCACTCTAGGCAAAAGCTCTGGCAAGCAAACTCTCAGACTGTGGATACATGTTGGCTGGGTGCTTGTGCTTGGCCTGTAGTGCCTTCCTTAGTGCCACCCTCCTCTGACGTAAGGATAGCATCATGATAAGAGGGTCAGCCACATGTTTTTGCTTTCACATCTTCATTTTCAACCATGCACTTGGTGAGTAAGTTTCATGAGCAAATCATATATTTTATACCTGAACAGACTGGTTCAAATTCCAAGGTTGGGAGGTATGCCTTGGGCTTCTTACTTAATTTTCTCTAAATTTTAATTTTATCACTGTCATTGGCATTGGCATCTTTCATAATGACATAATGTATTATCCATGGTAGTGGACACTATTCCAAGCCCACTATCTACATTCACTTATTTTAGATTAACAATGAACTAAGTAAAATGTTATTATTACCTATTTTACACATCAGGATTGTGAGATGCAGGGTTTAAGTAATTGTAAAATGGTATATGTAATAAATGGTAAATCTAAGTTTATACTCAGGAATAATCCACATCCTTAATATTTTCCAGTGAATAGTACCTCTAACTATGAAATGAGTATCCCTCAACATAAGCTATGCTGCAGTATCAAAAATCTCCAGGTCTTAAAAACTTAAAACCATAGAAGTTTCCTTAATCTTTTCAGTGCATGTTTTGGCTGAGAGTTCTGTTAAGCATTGTTCTGCCTCTAGGACAGAGAGTTTGCATCTGTATGACGCAGAGAAAAGAATTCCAGAGTAAGTGCAGCAAGTTTTCACTCTTGGTACTGCTGAAGTTTAGGGAGAAATGACTTTGTTGAAGGCCCCTGTCGTGTCCCTTTGGTGCTAATGGCACCTTCTCTCAACTGTGACAACCCAGAAGTGCCAAATGTCTTTGTCTGGAGTGGTAACATTATTTCTGATTAGATCCACTCCTTAAGAGGTCTCAGACTATCTCTGCAGCTCTCCACCTAGTAGTGACTCAGTCTGAACTAGTCACGTGAGTCCATGTAATCATGAGGAAGCCAGGAAATGCATTTTACAGGGTAACATAGGGAAAAAGCTGGAATACATGGGGAACAATGCTAATGATTGCCACTAAGGAACACAATACTATATCAGATTCCAGGATTATCATGCAAATTAAGTGAAACAATGAAGTTTAAGAGTCAAAGTCAGTGTCTGTGACTGAGACAGTTTAGAGCAGGGGTTATGAAACTGTTGACATCCAGCCACTCGTATGTATTTGTAATACAGTTTTACTAGAAGAGGGCTGCATCATGGGTTTCCATATCATCTCTGGCTGCTTTTTGTGCTACTCTGGTTGAGCAGTTAGAATACAGATTGGACAACTGGCCAAGCCTTAATATTCCCCATTTGCCAAAGTTTGCCACTGCATCGGAGCTTTTATTCCTGTGGCAAGATATTGGGCTTTGCAAAACTGGAAGAGAACGAGGCACAGGAGCATATTCCAACTGAAGTCCACCAAGCAAGACTCGGAAGTCTGTCCAGAGTGGGTGTGATGGCTGCATTCCCCTGTAGTTTATTTCCACACGCTATTGTGAAGGTGACTGCTGTCCATCCTCTTCCCTGCGCAGAGTAAATCTGTACAAAGTCTGGCTCAACACATCATTCCCTATACATGCCAATTCTTCCCCAGTAGTTGAGTCAAAGAGCAAATATTAACAAGTACCAGATGTGCATAATAGGGAAAACGTAAGGGCTATTGAGGCAAACAGCTGAGGGGAACAGAAGCCCAAGGGAAGAGGAGTAGGTATCTGTCCAGGCTCAGAGCTCAAAGCAACGAGTTAACAGGCCAGGAAAAGTTGGCTGATGATTGTATAGGTCTTTTCTGCTCCTCACAAGGGTGCCACTGCCTGGGAGATGGTTGATCTTGGAGGCAAGAAAAGGCTGGATGGTGATGGCCTTGGAAGGTTGGGCGGTTCCCACAGCTCCCAAGTCTATCCGTGTTGGCTGAGGTGTAGTAAATTGCCTACAGTCCTTCCACTGCATCAGCTTAAGGGGTGGGGTGACAGTGCCCTGCACTACCCCCACCCCCAGCACTGCTGTCCCTTGATGGTGGGTTCCCAGCACCGGGGGACCCTTGTCATATGGGCTGTAGTTGAACTGTTGCCCAGTAGGAATAAATAGATGGGTAAAATGCCTTATTGCAAACCAGAAAGTTCTCCTCTTATCTTTGTGGGGTAAAACAATGTTAGATTCTTTGAAGATAATTTGGCTCTGCAGAAGTAAGCAATGTTGAGGTTAAAATTGTGAAGGCAAAATATTTTGAGAACACCAATTTAGTAATGAAAAATATTTAATGGATGGCAGTTTATACTTACCACATAAGATAACTTGATAATTTTTAAAGCACTAATATCCCATTGTATCAGATAAACCCGAGGGTGGCCAGCATGAGGTGGAATTATGGTGGTGACAGTAAGCCACTTTGACTCCCTATCACAGGAACCCTCTGAATCCCTATGTTCTGGTATGGTTATGGGGACAACTTATACATTCATTCAGCTCATTAAGTGAACTATTCCCCTTGCAAAAAACAAAACAAACGAGAAACAACCCCTGAAAGGTGATGCACAGTGCTGTTTATGTCTCTGCTTCCAGAATGTGAGGGTGTATTCTGGGTAGCCCCCCCATCCTAATGCACTTGGTGCACTGGTGACAGTGTAAGCTGAATTACCACTTAACACTTTTGTTATCTCTATTTCAGTGTCATGACAGGTTTTATATCTCTACCCTATGTGCATGTATAATCTGCTTTTGCAGTCCTTTTTTAAAGTTTAAAACACCTGTTCAACATAGAGAAGTGTATAGACATGTGAGAAATTTCACACATGTCCCAGGGTATCCTGATTTCTACAAGTGACAATGCTAATTTTAAAATTTTTTTTATTGAATAGTTTTCAAACCTAGCCTTGTACAAAAAAAGAGTAGTAAGATAAATCTTACTTTACCAGGCTCAAAAATCATCATATTTTACCAGTTGTAAAAATTTTCAATAATGTTTTGCATTCTCTCCTTCTCCCTCTCCCCAACTCCTTCAACACAGCATTATTTCTTAGACTAAGATCTCAAACTACAGCGGCATTCTCTACTTTGAGTGACACAAGTCTTTTTCTCCAGATAGATGGGTGAATGACTGGATAGCTGGCTGGATCTGTAGTTGTGGTTATAGACAGAAGTACATTTACATGCTATTCAATTAGATATCCATTTTTAGAAACTTAAGCTTATGGTTTTTCATTTGTAAATAACATATGATAACAGGACCTATGTGTTTTAGCATAAGTATGTTGCGGATTAAGTGAATGTTAAAGCCATTATAAGAGAAGCTGATAAGTATCCCAGCAGCCTACCCTGCTATCTTGTCCTTGCTATAATGACAGAGAGTGGGTTAACAAGGTCGTCACAGGCTGTCTTCCTGTCCTAGGTCTATGCTGTGGTGGTGATAGCATCTGTGGTGGGATTCTGTCTGTTGGTGATGCTGTTTCTGCTTAAGTTGGCAAGACACTCCAAGTTTGGCATGAAAGGTAAGAAGGGTTGAATTTATTTTACTTCTTATGTAGAATCACTTTTTGCTTATGACTAATGCTAATTACTACTACAGCAGGAAGTGGCTGGATTTATGATTACTGGGACTTAAGGCTGAAAAGACAGCAACAAGGATGTGAGAATGTATGATCCTACAGATCAAGTCACAGCAAAATAATGTTGGTTACTCAATGCCGCCCACTTTCCCGTGAGGACACTTGTCCCAGGAGACGGGCTGGCTTCTTGAATGTCAGTTGGCTAATGATTCCAGGCCCGTGGGCGGTGCTCGGTTTTCCTGTTTGCTGACATCACAGGCAGCGCCACACATTGGCAGTGGCATATACGGAAACATGCACGGTGTTACAGAAAGTTTCTTTCTGCTGCACACTTGCTTTCCAGGTCGCCTGTGGTATGATTTGCTTGCTATTATTTTTCTAGATTCTCAGCTTTTCAGATTTAAACTAAAACACTGGGAATGAAGTAAGAAGAGCCATTGGCAGTACACTGACCCACTGTGCATGAATGACTTTTTTTAAAATGGAAAAATTCTTAGGGTTGCATTAAAATTATAGATATGTCGTCCAAGATTTAAAGATGTGTGTTTTTGTAGAGGCTTAAATATTAATGTGAAGGGGGACTTATATAAATGTTGTTATATAAAAAATTGAGTTTCAGTGACTGAGAGGCATGTGTTTCAAAGTTTAAGCTTTGCATTGGCTAATGTATTAAAGTTGCATTTGTGTGGCTGTGTAGCTTACCCCTGCCTATAGATCTCTCAGAGGCAGAGCAGCGAGGGACCTGGCTCAGCTGTGCTGAGGGCCGGTCAGGCAGGTGTTCCTTGTCCATGAGGTCTCTCTACTGTGATTGTTGCTGGTATCTGCAAAAGGGAGCATTTAAGTGGCAGTAGGCTGCTTGGCATGCACCAGGCCCTGGCCCTGGGGAAGATCAGATCTGTTTCTGAGGGTTCCTCCTCTCATTTTGTTGGTGTCCATCATAGAGATTCTTAAATCAGAAATGAATGGGAAGGTGGGGTGGTAAATTTAGGTATAAAACAACAGCAGACCCTGAAAATGCTCTTGACTCCCCCTGAGCTTGCTGATCCTTGAGATTTCTTTAGGAGGAGCAAGACTTTTCATTACCAAATTGTCAGTAAAGATGGAGAAAGGAACAACACTACAGTAACTTTAATTGATTCATGGGAACAACACTACAGTAACTTTAATTGATTCATGGACACTGGTCCTCACACGCAGCTGGATCCTACAAACCCTCTATGGGACTCATGCCAACACAGATTGCTCAGCTGCCTTGGAGTTCAATAGGTCTGCAGACTGGCATTTCTGACAGTTTTCAGTGGAGACTGACGTGGTGTTGCCCAAGCTTCGTTAGAGAATAGTCGTTCGGTGTCATGAATACGGGCTACCATGTCTCCCTGTGAATAGGGGCGGCACAGGCACCAAACTCTGCCAGTGCTCCCCAGGCTGTTCAGGGTCCCTGGGTCTCTACCAAGAGTTGACTCTAGCGAGCCATGCTGGCTACCTACCTTGCCAACTCATCATCCTTGCCCTTGGCAGTTGCTTTCTTTCCTTAGAGACTTGGTGTGCATGTTCCCAAGCATAGATTTTGTTGAGAGTACCAGATTCTAGAAGTATAACACTTTCTCTCTCAGGGGAATTAGTTTGAGATCTTTTATCCTATGAGCTGCTTGAGAAAGACATATCTAGATCCTTCTGGGAGTTCATTAAAAGTTGTGGGAATCCATGGAGCAGAATTTAGGCGCCTCTCCCCATGATGGCCCAGGAATACTACTGGCTGAAAAATCATCTCTACATGTCACCTGCTCCTCTCTGCAGGGTAGTGATGAGACGGAAGCAGGGGCGACAGTCTGAATTAGAGAACAGACTGTTTCACACTGAAACTCCAGTGCTGAGTCTGAAAACAGCATGTATTTACCGATTTAGGGCGATGACCTCTAAAGCACCCGCATTCTCTGAACATAACCTGAAGATGTTCTTGGTGAACTGGGAGAAAGAGCTTGCTTACCTTTGACACAGAGCCAGTGGGTCAATGACTTCCTGCAGGTGGTGCCTGCTCTTTGCACGTCTTTCTGCCTACTCCCAAGCATAAATACAGTTATTTTTAGAAATTCTGTCTCAGAGCCTCTTGTGCTTATTTAGAATAGCTTAGTTTTCTGTTTTAGTTACACATTGATGTATGGCATGATATGAGCAAATTGGGCCCGGTCTGAGGTTATTGTTTTACAAGTCAGATGCTGAGTTGATAACCTTTAGGGATCTAAAAATTAAGACGTGGTTTATGTGTTGAGTGCAAATGAGACTGCATAAAGAATGGTGTTTAAAAGTTAATGCAAGTTAATATACTTAAAATGCTATCAGAGCAAGGACGACTGCTTGAAAACATATGTCTAAAAAAAGGAAAGAATATGTAAAAATACTATTATACTCCCTGAAAAAATCAGGCAGTATGTCAGTCAGGATTTTAGAATAACAGCAGGATAAACGGTGCATAGCTTTGTAAGTGGATGTGCAAGAGGCCGGTGGTTGATGTGCTGAGGAGCTCTTAAAGATGCAACTCCACCCTCTGACATCTTCAGAGTGGCTCCAGCCCTGTCCTTGTTCCCTTATCCTGAAACAGATTCAGGACAGGAGGTGGCTGCCCCCATCTGCAGGGCTCCAAGCTGATTTCACCCATCCCTACCTGTGTTTGTCTCCTTCTGTTGCTATAAGAAAATATCTAAAGCTGATGCTTTTGTTTTGAAGAGGTGAATTGAGTTCACAGTTGTGAAGACTAGAGGCCACAGAGCACAGTGCTGGCTCTGCTAAGGGTCCTTCTGCCTTTGTCACATCATTCGGTGAGGCAGGAAGCCAGGGAGCAGTGTCTCTAGCTCTTCACCACTGCACTCTCTCGCAGGTGTTGACTCCTTTCAAGGCCACCATCCCTAGTGATGTCCTCACACTGCGACCAACTTTCCAACACACATAGGACCTTTCGGGGGGAACAAATCACATGGAAATCATGGCCCTAGCATAATTTATCTTGAGTGATGGCTGTTGCAGTTGGTGGGAGATACTTTGGTCTGAGGAAGAACAGTTGAATACTGCAGATTCAGTGAGCCTAGGCTAACACAAACCAGAAACTGCCTAAGATCACTGTAGAGCTGAGCGCAGGTGAGCTTGAAGGACTGAGGTGGCAGCGAAAATACTTCGTGGAATTGCTTCCTTGAGAAGGTTCCCAGCCAGTGAGTCACATCTGGATTCGAGGGTGCAGGCAGGGAGCTGCAGAGCTGTCTTTGGAGATGGCCCACAAGAATGTGAGCTTGGTGTCCTGTCCCTTCCCATAAACAGATGCTGCTGCAGTCTAGCACAAGTGACAGGTGGGGGGCTCTATGGTGACAGCATTCATATTTGTCTCTTCATCTTTTTTTTTTTCGAGAGCTGAGACAAAAGTTGACACTGAAAACATAAATTGTTCAAATAATTAGGATTTTCAACTTACTCACGTTGGTTTAGTAATTGGCAAGTCATGAATGAGAAACCATAGGACTTTTCTAAGTTCTGAAAGAAACTAAATCCCTTTCTCTCTTTGTAAATTGCCTGAAATTCAAGACAACTACTGGCCATAGACAAGAAGTCAGCATGTTCAGGTTCAGTCTAAGGATATGTAAGCCTTCACACACTGTTTTAAAGGATTATTTCTGTTTAAGTTTGGAGGATTCACTTACACTTTCCATTTTGCATCTGGAGAGCCATTTCTTCCCCCTCTCTGCCTTTGATCTGTACCTTTGGGATATATATCCTTGTCCAGTTTTGAGCTAGAAGTACTGGGTGGTCGCTGTTAACTTACAATTTGTCTTTCACTGGTTCACTATAGCTTAGGCTTCTGGTTACTGTAAGAACCCAGTGGGCTAACAGCCTTGTTTTAATAAAGATGTCAAGGTGTAGAGTTATTCCATGTCTGTTTTCCTTCTCATTTCTGTACCTTTGCACTGTACTATTGCTTATTAGTTGAATATTGGCTTATTGTAATTGTAGAATCCCCCAATAAAGGTCCTCTGTCAGTATTTGGTCATCTGTACAAGGAATATGCATAAGCATTTAAGATGCATAAAATCTGTAACAAACCTATCCAAACTGATATCCATTTCAATATACCCATATGTAAATGCATAATTTTATCCTTTCTTTTAAAGCTGCCTCTGACTTACTTCAATGCTGGTTTTTACATAATAAAAGGCTCAGTTTTCCAGAGGAGCTTTATTGTCAAAGAACAGGCAACCAGCCCTTTGAACACACTCATTTGTCTTGTCACCAAAGTCCTGAGTTTAGCTCTTGCTTGCATGCTGGCTCCCCCTCTTCCTTGACGATGGACAAGTGCAGGGAAAGGGGGAATGGAGATATTCATCAGCAGCAGGGCTGCCAGTCACCTCAGAGGGAGCCCTGCAACTGCATCGATGATATACAGAGCTTGAAACTGTAGGGACAGCAGGGAGGAGGGGACTTGACATTCATCGCTTTGGTGAAGAATATTTTTTGCTATTAGCTTTTTGTTCCTTACATTTCCCAGTGGAAGTGTACATGTGATATTTCTTCCCAAGGTACTGATACATCTTTTGTCTTTCTAGAGTAAAACATTTGCCCTAGGAAACCTTTGCAGAAGGAACAGTGAAGGAAATCCTTTCTCTCATTGGCCTGATACCTGCACAGATTTCCTTTGTAGTCTCTTGTCCTTGCATGAAAAATGCCCTGTGTGCGTTCATTTGAGGTCACTGATTGGTGAAGCCTGAAAAGTTACATGGCCCGAGAGTGCAGACCTCGGTTTCCTAATGGCAAAGTGTAGGCCCACAGTTCCAGTTTCTGCTCTTCAGAATCACCTTCTAGATGTTTTCAAAAGCAAGCAAAAATATGGTCACTTAAAAATAGTCATCAGAATGGTGAGACCAAAGCTACAGAGGTTGAAGGTTAAAGCTTTCATATGAACC